TTAGGTTTAAACATGGGGGATTCCAACTCGAACAAACACATTCATGTGATGAATAAGTTTCTTCGCTTACTGTCCCCGTACTTAATATACCTATGTGTATATTTCAAAGTAAATAAATATGTAAATCGGTTTCTGGTTGACACAGTACAGAGAACCCTAGCTTAGTCCAAAACGAAACTATATAATTTGTCCCCAATTATTTATTTATTCACGTTGTTATATATGTGGGCACCGGTCACAAAAGTGCTGGTGCTAATAAATAAATAACTATGATTTATTAACGTACACGTATAGGTGCAAAGGCTCTTTAGTACTCAATTAACACAATCTCGCAACATACGCTAACATTGTTCTATTTCGTGCGTTCCAACTACCATTTCGTTATAAATAGATGAAAAAAACACGTTAGACTCTTGACTGACTTCGGGTAAACATTTGATTTAAATGTATTGGATTGAGGTCGAACGATAGATGGGAAAATATTATTTACATTTCTGTTTATAAGTACGTAGTTAGATTCATTTTTCAGTATCCTTTTGATCTTGATGGATAAAAAAAGAGTTTTTTTTAATGTATGATTCATGATTCAATGTTTAGTCACACTCAGTATATTTATATGTAGTATCTTTGTATATAATCTATTTAGGCATGAAATATAGTATTTTTTTAATTTAATAATTTGTGGATTTTGATGATGATGATCTTAACGAGTAGGTATTTGTGGTAGGGGTATTTTTAGCAAGTACGGCTTGGTAGCACGCTTCTTCTACCGATTTTTTGCCGCGAAGAAAATATACGGTATGGTTGGAAAAAAAATATACTATATTTTAATTCGAGTTACATTTTTCTCTTATTAAATATCAAAGTAAATAGCCGTACAGTTCCAGACTGAGCCAGTCCTGAGAACACCTGGCCAAACTGAACCATCTGGGCTTTTTCCATTCTAATATTATTTTCAATAGCAATTTTTCAAATTTTCAGACAACAAAGCACTCTCTCTCTCTCAGCAACATTTTATACCCTCTTGTCATTCAGCAATACGTCTTGTCAACCATGGTCTTCCTCTAGGTCTAAGACCTGGGAAGTCGAGCTGCAGTGGCAAATTTTCGACGTAATAATAATAATAATAACAACAAACCTAAATTTCTTATTCATAATATAAAATGAACGTTTGCTCATGAAATATTGTACCTACAAATGCAGTTATCGGTGTTTTAAGAACATTTTTATGATAAAACCATATTTTTTCCTACCTAAGCTGATAGCCTTAGAGGGCTATGCCTGCCTCACCGAGTGGGTAGGTGAGCTCACGGGGCTCTAACCGCAGGACGTTGCTAGCAAGAGCAGTGCTTCGCAGGATCTACCACGCTGGATCGGCACCGCGACCCACTGAGAAGATCCGGCGAGAAACTCAGTGGGCAAGACCCATCAATGCACTACTATGAGAATAGATTTGACAAACAGACGCTTTGCAATTATCAACGGTCCNGCCTGCCTCACCGAGTGGGTAGGTGAGCTCACGGGGCTCTAACCGCAGGACGTTGCTAGCAAGAGCAGTGCTTCGCAGGATCTACCACGCTGGATCGGCACCGCGACCCACTGAGAAGATCCGGCGAGAAACTCAGTGGGCAAGACCCATCAATGCACTACTATGAGAATAGATTTGACAAACAGACGCTTTGCAATTATCAACGGTCCGACGGTGGAGCGGGGTCGAGATTCACTGGTCTGATGCATAGAAACGACTGTTTGTTTCCGCATCGTCTGTACGCACGCGTGCCTTTTAACCGATTGAGTTAAAAACATCGTACCGTTATTATTGGCACTTCCAGAAATATTTATTCCATAACACCCTCAAAGTAGGCTGAACGCGAGTAGTCTTAATTATTTATATTGTAATTAATTAATTAAAAAGGCGAACACCAAATATTGATGGTAGATAGATCCGGTATGCTTATTCGCTTTAATGAACTTCAAGACTTGCAATTTATTGACCAGTTCGTTTAACCTGGCTCTCTCCTTAGTGACGAGGGTGGCAGCGGAAGGAAAATAACCAGAATCCAGACAGAATCCAAATGTCCAAAGGAGCAATGAATAAACTCACTAGGATATGGAAAGACAATATATCCCGCAAAACCAAAGTGAAGCTGGTACGTACCTAGTACCGTACTACGACTTCTCAAATTTGCTTTACGGCACCGAAACCTGGACGATAAGACGGAGTAAGAGGGCTAACATCGTCGCTTTGGAAATGTGGTGTTGGAGGTGGATGTTGCGAATTCCTTGGACTGCACGTCGGACCAACTTATCCATTCTGAAGGAGCTCTTAGGAAGGAAAAAACGTGTATTACCACAAGGCTGTCCGCTATCTGCTTCCTGCGTATTCTCACGTATGTGTGTATTTCGGTCACATCGCTCGTAAAGATTGTAATAACTTAGAGAAGCTGATGGTAGTTTGTTGGCTGGACGAGTGAAGATCACGCGGACGCTCACCTACCCATTGATCTGATCTGGTAAGGACGCTTACCGGTATGCCACTAACGGAGGCAATAAAGACCGTCGAGGACAGCAAGCATAGTGCATCGAGCGATCAACACTTCAAGCTAGACACGACCTTCAGCAATGAAAATACCGACTAAGGAGAGGATAGGTGTAATTCGAATGGAATTGAAACTGGAATTGACGATTAACAGCAGGTAAGCTGAGATTTTGTCTGGTTATCAATGCTAATTTATGTATTTGGTATTTTGCCATCGTGATAGTTATTTATGCGAAAGTGATGTTATGTGAAACCGAATTTGTATGTTTGTCTGTTACGCTTTCATAACATAACTAAGTACTATATCGATAATGATGATTTAATTCTGCACACCGGCTTTTGCGTACCGCTGGCATTATTGACGTCTATGAGCTACGGCAACCACTCACCATCACGGGCAATTAAAACCCCACTCACATGGGTAGATCAAAAAAAAACTTTTTCAGGTTTATGGAAAAGCAGCGGGGTAATATGTAACACCAGCGGCGCTGCCTAGGGCGGCCTAGGCCTGTCGTAACGTCATGATCGTAATGGTCGACGTAGAATAAATTCCGATGCCCGAGCCCGAAAGAAAGGCCATAGAAAAAAAATGTATCCAGAAAGATACATAATAATTTATTTATTTTTATTATCGCAAGAATAGCCGCGAACGAAAGCTAATAATTAAATAAATGAGATCGCATTTAAAACCGCACCTTTATCGGCGAACATCAATACTTTGAAGTCGGAATTAAAAATACAGAGCGATTTAAATAATCGAGTCATTTTTTTTTTAAACACATTTTAAGTCTATTATCAAAATAAGCAAACAAAGATAATTCTAGTCGCGAGTGAGTTTATCTTCATCAGAACTGTCATGGTGCCGTCCACAGAGGTAAGACGTTTTTTTTTAAATTTAGATTGCTTAGAATTGCTGATTATGACACCCGACGATATACTTTTGTCTATGTTTTACGTTTAACTTAATGTTTTATCTATATATTAATACGTGAAACAAAAACTTTGGATCCCTTTTTACGAAAATTGCACGGACGGAGGAGTATGAAATTTTCCACACTTATAGAGAATATAGAGAAGAAGTGCACAATGCTAATATTTTTTTAAAATAATGCATAAAAGATACAATAAATCAAGAAAGAAAACATTACACACACTACATACCATGTATTTGACGCACACACGCATGCATACTATTTATTGTCAAACTTTTGTTCTTGACGTCTGTGGTCAAATTGAGAATAGATTAAATATTATTTGTCTTTATTAATATTTTTTTATAGTGTAGCCCGCAATTTGTGATTATAAAAGTATAAAATACAATCATAATAGTGTGCAAACTTATTATACAATTCCAATTAATTATAGTTGAATTTCGACTACTGCGGGACCTCTAGTTATTATGTCATCCTTGTTGTTCAGTTTGTGTTTATTAAACGTACTTTACAAATTTAATCGATTAAAAAAACGAAAATTAATTTGATATAATTGATATATGTACTCGTTATACATTCATTTCATTATAATTTTTAAATATTAGTGTCTAAACGAATAATCGCATTTTGAGTTGCACTATCTACTATCCATTTGGATAGATACGATCATATCACATACGTGATGATAAGTGCTTACCAGAGTCTATTAACGCAACGTTATTACCGTCACTCATCTAGTAACATGAAGTGAGAGTCTGGAATATTTTGTGTAACAGCTGTTTCCTCTGGGAAGGTCTGCCTCAGAAAACGGTAGGATGTTGTTACCTACCCGGGTCCAAGAGGCCCTTCCGTCTGTATATCGAAAGAAACTTACATGGTGGTGGTAGGGCCTCTTGTGAATCCGCACGGGTACCACCGCCCTGCCTATTTCTGCCGTGAAGCAGTAATCCGTTTCGGTTTGAAGGGTGGGGCAGCCGTTGTAACCATACTGAGACCTTAGAGCTTATATTTAAAGGTTGGTGGCGCATCTACGATGTAGATGTCTATGGGCTCCAGTAACCACCGATGGCTCGTCCACCCATCTAAGCAATAAAAAAAAACTTAGAACTGCTATTAAATGGTCGACTTAATTTAAATAGATATACTAGATAGAAGCGTTTATTGTTATTCTGAAGTCATTTCAGTGATTTTAAGCTCCATGGCATGTTTTAGTATTTATCTGTAGTAGAAAAGTCATGCGATGCTGAATGATGAATGGTGAAATGACCACACCCTCAGTCCGGCCCTATTCTTGGAAGCCTAATTAAACCCACGCGCTAAAACTTAAAGAATTAATTTATTACGCTTTGGCTGCTTGTTTTACGAAGCAAGCTTCATTGTGTTGGCATTACGCCAAATCTGATCTTGCTTTTTCCCCTCGTTTATATAAACATCAGTGAATATTCTTTTCGTGATTTGTTTCAAAATATTATAATGTAACGTTATTTGATTATTTTTATATGTTTGGTCGATTCATATTAAATACTCACCGGCGATCTGTTCTGGGGGCAGCTCATCGGCCTGTTAACAAAAAAAATATGCTATTAATATTCTGTCCTTAGTTTAATATGTAAGAACATAAATATTAGATTAAATATTAAAGTTCAACATCCATCAAATATGGTTAAAGTTAAAATATTCTTCGAGGTACTTTCATCATCATCAGCCTGCGGCAGTCCACTGTTGGACAAAGGCCTCCCCCATAGCTTGCCACTAAACCCGATCCCGAGTAATTGGATGCGTAGAAGTAACTGGATGCGTAGAACCGAAGTTCGGGTTCCAGTTACTTTTATTTATTTAAAAAACAAAATTAATAAATTCGTTCAGTATTTAGGTAAGAGATTTAAATATTTATATCAAGATAGACAACACGTACAGACTAACTCCAAGTTCACGTAGTGTCAAGCGGTACTTACTATATTATTATTATTAATGTTGCTGCTTGCACTGAAGTTTGAAGTCAATTTTGAATTGAATTGGAATAACGACCGTCATTCATACTGTATGAATGATTCGAGACAGAAATAGGCTGAACGATGATATTGATACTCATACATTCCCTCCGAATTCATTTTTAATTTTGGTGAGTTTTGTTATTTATTACCCGTCGAACTTAATGGGTTGGGGTGCCAGGGTGCTTTAATGAATTGTCAATATTGCCTCTATTGCTCGTTTACAGTTTTATAATGTGTTGGTACTGACAGTCTAAAATAGCGCCAGAGAAAGATTCTTCGTAAGTGAAATACACAATCCAATGTGTTATTGGTACTGTTGATAAAACTACAGGGCCTTTATATTATTTAACTGAATTTTCCATGAAACATTCTCCTGTCCATCAACATAGCCAACGTTAACCAACATTCTCCTCCAACCAATTTGTTAAACCTTTATTTCAAAGCTAAAATTTACGCTCATCCTTAATTCGAAGATAAGACACGGCACGCAATACAAAAAAAAGAACTTTGATGTTCTGTATTAAATCTAAGTATTACCGAGCACTAAGCCATCGGAGTGTGCTACCGGAGCATAATAAATTTGTTTTATGTGCAATTGAAACAAAAATAGACTCATTGGTCTTGCACACTCTATCTGCCACATATTTCCGTGGCCAGAAACGTACGTCATTCGTCCTTTTAAATTATATAGCTTTTACTTTTTACGATATTATAAAACTGAATTTTAATATAGCAGCACGTATGTAATTTTTTTATGTGAGAAATCGATATTTTTGGATAAAGATGCGAAACGTTGACGTGGTCTAGCTTTAAAACTTGATACATTTGACATGGTGACAAACTCGCTTTGAGTTATTCCTAAAAAATATTTAATTTACCGCAGGTTTCACAGTATCGGTTTTTTCTTGTTTATCTGTAAAACAAATATGTTCTAATCTCATGAACTTTGTGATGATGAAACCTAAAGATATTTGAGTTTTATTTAACTGAAATAGATTTTGTAATAACTGCACAATTTTCTAACCATTACTAGAAAGTTTGCAACTATAAAATATGTTTTTGGACGCAAACGACTTTGAACGATGAAGCCTAAGTCTAAGGCCGAATTTTAAGATTGGGGCAGAACGCGATTTATTCTTTGCTTTTTTAAAAATAAAGGTATCGGATATTAGAGGTATATTGTGCTTTAAAAAAGTTAAATACACTATGTTTATGTACTGGCTTTGGTAAAATTTAAATAATTTAAGTATTTTTTGCAATACATAAAACAATTAATATTTTTCAATTAAAAATTTCCAAAAAATGTATAAGTTGAGGTCGATTATTTTTATTAAATTATGAAATTAAAACAAAACAAAATATATATTAAATTAAAAGTGATCAATGATGAAAATAAACATTGAAATTTACTTTATTTATCTACAGTGTAAAAAACCTAAGATCTTTAAAATTTTACACCGTCTTGACAGCTATATTAGTTGTTAAAATAAATTTGTTAACTGCTTCTTTCACAGCTGCTGTCGGTCAGTTGTCAACTGTCACAAATTCAACTGAACCGAATTACAAGAAAAACGACATATCTTGTTAATGTCCCTTGTTCATAACACACGCCTCATACTTTAATCTTCTTTTCAGCATATTTTTAATTTTTTACAATTGTATTTTAATTTAATGTTGCTATTGGAGACACCTACCCAGTCTTCGGTGTCCAGAACCATGGTTGATGTCACTAGTTAACACTGTGAGACGCACAACACGACTGGCCACAATTCCGAATGTTTCCAGCGTTCAGGGTTATTTTCTGCTGCCTCACGGTATTCGGGGCTTTCGAATACTTTCCGTGGTATAAAGAAGGAGGGGAGCGCGGGCGGCGGGGTCCGCCGGCCCCAAGTCCTCCCCGGTTTCCTGTGCCACCGCTGACCAATCGCGTGAGCCTCAAACGGCAGGATGCTGAAGTATTTTTAGTAGAAACGTGGTTATGAAAAACGTAAACAAGCCATGCGTGCGCGTGAACGTCCGCCCGCCCGCTGTAATCTCGCCGCTCACCCAGTAAATGATCTTAGCGTTCGCTCTCACTAAATGTGAATAATTATAATTTTAAAGCCGTTTGTCGTGTGTAGGACGTTTACGATTATGATGTAAAGATATTTTTTTCATAATTTCTTTGATCAGTTTTATTAACTTTATATAAAGTTGCTGCTTGTAAAACTTTTTTTTTTGTTTTTAATGAGAAAATTTAAGATATTACGTTTCTTGTGTTTTTTAGGTCACAACCTCACAACTCAGTTATTTTTAATATATTGACGATATTAATAAGTTACTTAATATTCGCTATCACAAAATGCATTAATGACGCAGGTGAATGCCTAATAAATTAATAATACTAAAAATAATAAGAATTAAAATATTTAAAACGAATACTGTGGTAGTGAAGACGACAGTAATTTATGTTAATTAAAAGCTTATGATTTAAGAGTTCGAACACTCTGCATATTATACATCAACATGTTCAGCGGTGCTTGTTGTATGTACTAAGATGAATAGTCTTCGAGAATTGGCACAGTACGAATCGCACGTCCTACAGGTCCTAGTTCACTGACCTCCTTGTGGCTTTGATAGTAAACACCTTCGATAATACAATTACTAAAGCAAGGATTAAAGGAAAATTACCCATACTTGATAAGACATGTTTAAATTAGTCAGGGTATTACTGAGGAATACATTTAACAAATCAGGATTTCAAGTCGAGTGTGATTTTGTGGAAATTGGCGATTAAAAATTAATAAAGTCTGGACCTCACACAGAAACTATTGGATTGACAATTACGTTTTTCAACGCCCTCATATAAATACGCTGTAAGATCATTACGCACGACGCGACGTGATCTGATAAAATCACTTTCGGAAATTAGATATAATACGGTTTAATTTATTATCATTAAATTTGACTGGTGTTATTCCATCTATAATGTAGTCATAATGGGTGGCTGCCAATACGAATGTGCCGGTCATAAATCAATCGCATTTTTATGAGCACTGGAAAACTCGAAACGGGCTATTTTGAGAAACAGTTATGAACTCCGCAGTTCATAAAACAACTCGAATTCAGGACGCATCTAAAACGGACACCGCTTTAATTTCAACATCGTTATTAGTCGAATAAATTATGTTTGTATAATCAAATGGACAGTCCAAGTGTTATCTGAACAGGTGCCTAAAGATATTTTAAGTTTAATATAACGTTATCTACAAAGATTCGACTAAGCGATTAAACGTTATATTTCTTTAAATATTAATGTTAAAAAGTTTACAGTGTGTACCGACATCCCACGCTATTCTGATTTGTTTATAGCGTGCACGGTTACGGAATGATACGCTTCAACATGAAATAATGCTCCGACCGAACCTTAGCCCAGTTCGTGTTTATTGTGTATGTGATTCTGAGTTTTATCCCGTACAGCTGGTTGCCGTATAATCCGTTTATAAATAGCGTATAGACAACAAAGCGTCAACAAATTTTCACGTATCGGATACCGACCGCTGTCGAATAATGTCTGGCGGTCGTAAATGCTCGTTTAAATTATTAAAATCGTTCTATTTTTTTTTTGCACGGGCCTCTTCATTGTACTAGCACATTAGAGAGGATTTATGAATACTGTGAAATCCAAGTCAGATAACGAGCAGTTGTACTTGTAGATTTATTAGAAAATCGTTTTGATTAGTTAGATATGGATTCCTTCGAAATGTTCGGACAGATGTTTTATTTGTAAAATTTATATTTAGTATTGTAATCATTTGAAGATAAAGCGCGTAGGTAGTGTTTTTAACTTACCAGCACACTGATAGAAGTATTAGAGCTCATGGTGGTTTTTGTTGCAGAGATTCACCTCGTGGACCATCTAATTAATATGTAGGTGGAATCCGCATATCTGAAAGACCAACTTAGATTCCACAGTGGGCAGGTGTCGAACACCTCTCGCAAGAAACTTTTAATAAAGTTGAGATGATTTTAATAATCTAGTTGGATACCTCTAATTTAACCTCTGACTTTCTACATTTCTTTTGCATCCTGAAGGTACCTATGTCATGAATAAGCGAACGAGGTAAGTGGTATCATCTCCTTTGTCATCAGTTATTCAACAGGACTAGTTTTGCACCAAATTAATTGAACTGTTTAATTGCTGCAAACAGGTCAACGAGTCCACAGCCCAACTAAAAATTACCGGAGCCGAGGGATATTATAGCGTGGCGCCATTCGTCCGGGATGTGTACGCTGACGAAATATGGGACTCAGTATATCTAGACTGCTTGTCTAGCCATGAATGGTTTGACATGAGAGGCCAAATACGAATGGCGTACGAAAACTTTAAAACAAAAAAAGGATCAGCCTGCATTGTTATTAATACAGCTTTTATTTCAGTACCTTCGAGATTTAAGCTCTTATCTTTTTTTTTCCTACCAAAGCTGATAGCCTTGAGAGGCTATTTCAGCGTAACTTTAGCTAGTAGGTGAGCTCACGGGGCTCAAACCGGAGTGATGCTAACACTGATCTTAGCAAGAGCAGTGCTTGCAGAATCTACCACTGGATCGGAAACGCGACCCACTGAGAAGATCCGGCGAGAAGCTCATTGGGCCATAAGCTCTTAGCTCTTGAAACTTTTTATAGTAGATGCATAAGTGTTAAGTAGTTCATTCGCAAAGCTACTCTTGAGTTGTTAGGTCTCAATTGGAGGCGCTCGGGTAGCTGTTAGCAAATCCCACCCTTCCTGGCTGAGCCCTTGCTCGCCCGCCTACCCTGGTAAAACTAGAAAGGCCTACGGGCCACCAGCACTCTTAAACATAAAAAAGTGTGTTGTGTAATAAGGGCACAGATATTGTGCGGGTAAAGGTGCCGTCATTTACTTACATATTTCTGCCGCAACTAAACATAGCCGTGACCGTGAACCCGTGTGTAATCTAACATAAAAAATGTGGACCTGGGATACACTTAGTCTGGCCATAGATATTGTTACAATTAAAAATAAACTAAATATTACATTTGAATTTGGAATCTATCATTTTTATATGATTGCTCATTGAGTTTTCTCATTTTAGCGCCAATACATTGTACAATATTTTGCGATATTAAAATGGAGTGGGGTGATAAAGAGAACCGAATCGCTGTGATTGCATTACACAAAGTAGGTATGGAGCCAAATGCAATTTTTAAAACTCTCCATACGCTTGGTATTAGTAAAATATTTGTGTACCAGGCTATTAATAGGTGCAATGAGACCTCCTCTGTTTGTGACAGAAAAAGATCTGGCCGTCCATGTAGTGTTCGTACGAAAAAGGTGGTCAAAGCAGTAAGGGAAAGAATTCGAAGAAATCCTGTCCGAAAGCAAAAGATTTTATCTCGGGAGATGAAGATAGCACCTAGAACAATGTCGCGTATTTTAAAAGATGACTTAGGACTTGCAGCCTATAAGAGATATACTGGTCATTTCTTAACTGATAATTTAAAACAGAATAGGGTGGTAAAATCGAAACAACTACTGAAGCGGTACGCAAAGGGAGGTCATAGAAAAATTTTGTTTACGGATGAGATTTTTTTTACAATTGAGCAACATTTTAACAAACAAAATAACCGTATTTATGCTCAAAGCTCTAAGGAAGCTTCCCAATTAGTCGACAGAGTGCAACGTGGGCACTATCCGACTTCAGTGATGGTTTGGTGGGGTATTAGCTATGAAGGAGTGGCTGAGCCATACTTTTGTGAAAAAGGTATCAAAACATCGGCACAAGTGTATCAAGATATAATTCTTGAGAAGGTAGTGAAGTCCCTTAACAACCCCATGTTCAATAATCAAGAATGGTCCTTCCAGGAAGACTCGGCGCCAGGTCATAAAGCTCGGTCTACGCAGTCTTGGTTGGAAACGAACGTTTCGGACTTCATCAAAGCTGAAGACTGGCCGACGTCTAGTCCCGATCTTAATCCGCTGGATTATGATTTATGGTCAGTTTTAGAGAGTACGGCTTGCTCTAAGCGCCATGATAATTTGGAGTCCCTAAAACAATCCGTACAATTGGCAGTGAACATTTTTCCCATGAAAAGAGTGCGTGCTTCTATTGATAACTGGCCTCAACGTTTAAAGGACTGTATTGCAGCCAATGGATACCACTTCGAATAAGCTTTTTATACTTTAAATTGTTTTATATTTATGTATTAAACTAACACACTGTAAAAGTAATAAATGTTATTTGCAATAGATTTTTTTTCCTTTGTCTCAGTATTTATGGCAAGACTAGGTAGTTTCAATACTAAGCAGTACGTCTTATCTCTTAGGTCATGAATTTATCCGCTTTTTGCAGTGCCTAATATTTTCATTTCGTGATGCAGTGTTATTGACGGTCGGCGATGACGTAAATTTCTATGAAAATGTTATTTTTCCTGTATGCAGTAAGTTTATGGCCGCATGTGTTGATGTACGAGGAGGGATCAAAAAGTAATGAGAACAACATACTCGTTGGTAAGAAAACTAAAATAAAAATAGTGGCAGGCATAGCTCAGATACATCTTTGTAATATTAATTAAAAAAAAACTTCGATTCTCTTTTGTTTTTTTCTGAATGTAGTCATTTGTTTGCTTCGTGTCGGAACGTGTTCTCGAAAACGGAGAAAAATGAAGAGCGAGCCGTTATTAAATATCTCTGTTTAAAAAAGTTAACGACGCGAGAGATTCATTGCGATTTGGAGGCAATATTAGGAGAGTCTGCTCCACCGTATTCCACTGTCGCAGGGTGGGCCTTCTCAATTTCGAGTACGGAGAATGAGTACGGAAGTCGAACATCGTTGCGGCCGTCCATCAAGGGCGGATCCAGCTTTGGCGCCAGGAGGGGGTCACATAGTCAAATTTAGATGCGTTCGTTCCCAAACGTTTGCCATTATACAAAGTTATTATATTATATTAAATTAATTAAATATTGAAGGTATGTAGTCACATAAAAAAATAAAAAAATGTCTGCCCCTGGCATTGCTGAAGTCCATGGGCGA